CTTCCAGGTCCTGACCACCAACCACGGCTGGCTAGGTCCTGGGCCAGCTGGCACCTTTGCCCCACCTCCTCAGATGGTTGTTTATTCAGAGATAACTGTATGGGATCCACTCTCTCAGGTGGGAGCTTGGTGGGCAGCCCGCCTCCCCACGGCCACAAATCCCTGGCCATCAGAGGGCAAAGGACAAAGCAGTATGCTCAGCGGAGGCACCAGAGCCAGGGGGGTACAGAGCAGGATGAGGGCACTGGTGAGGGAGGGGACAGCCGCAGCTGGCCAGGGCCCATAGGGTGGGCCTTTGCCCCGCCCCTGCCCACTGCCCCCACCGCCCCTCGGCGGCTTTCCCGCTCCCTCTCCCCACATTAATCTCTGCGCTCACTGCTGACCCAAGCGAAACGGAGTTTCCTTCCCCTCTCGGCAGTTTTCTGTTGGCAAAGCAAAAAGGATCTGCACACACACCTCGACCTCCCACCCCGGATCCACTCTGAGGACGAAGTGTCTCTCTCACCAAGTGCAGCGTGCACACGGCCAGGCTCCTGTCACCGCCGCGGGCTCAGCCCTACACTCTCCCGACCTCCTTGGTCCTGGCTCTGCGTGGGCACTGGGGGAGAGGCATAGCCCCTGCTGCCACTCCACATTCCTAGGCACGGCCCCTCCTCCCAGGCAGCAGGTGTGGGACACCAGCATGTCCTCCACAGGTGTCCACAGGCCTTGAACACCTTGAATACCTGTAAGTGTGGTACTTGCCCATGACCTAGGGGACGTCTGGCATGCAGTGACAAATGGTGACATGGCTGGGCCAGAACCTGCGGACTAAAGCCCTGGAAATGGGGTAGGGCCAGACAAGGCTGCCCCAGGGAGGGACACTAACCTGCCCCTGGAGACTGGAAGGCCAAGGGAGGAATGGGGAGGAGCTGTGTGGGCAGTAGGTAGAGAGCTGTCAGGGTGGAGGGTCGGAGCCAGGCACATGCATGGACATCCTCACGCATGAGCCAGGCTGTCAGGGCAGCTGCTGCTCCCTTGGGAAGGCCTCTGCCGGGCAGGCTCTCCCAGCCTGGACAGCTCCCCTTGCAGCACAACTCATGGCCTCCTGTGCCACCTGGGGCTACCGTCTGCTGGGTGGTCCCGTGGATGGGTGCCCAGAGTGCTGCCTGCCACCCCAGGGACAGGAGCTCTGATCCCTGTGGGGCACGGCCAACTGGTTGGGATGCATGGCGGGTTCTGCCAAGTGTCCTGGCCCCTGAGGCCTCCTGCAGCCAGCCAGGGACTCCACCCCCTGCCAAGCCAGCGTCCGGGTGGCTGGGAGTCACCTGGGAGGCTGGAGGTGCATCCCAGCCCTGCAGGCCCTGAGCGGCAGCCACTGCCATGTGTGGGTGAGGACAAGGGGTCAGGGGCCTCCCAGACCCAGGGCCTCCGGCTGTCCCCTCACGGTGGCCCCAAAATGCAGGTCGCTGTTGGGCGGCACCTATGTTCCCAGCTGGAAGAGGACCTCCTCTGCCTGTAGAGCGCCTCAGGTGCCAGGGGCGCGGCGGGCTCCCTCTGCCCAGCCCTGCCTGGCTAGGGCCCCAGCCCCAGGAGCTCCCAGCCCCACTGGGGATCGTGGGCATCACTAACGAGCCCAGGGTCCCTAACTCCCTTGCTTTGTCCTCTGAGGGCCGGGAGGACCACCAGAGGTATGTGCCTGGCTCCAGGCGGGAGCCCCTGTGGCAGACACCAGGGAGACCACCACATAGAGGGCACAGCGGCAGGGGGCCGGGGACAAAGGCTCAGGCGGGGCAAGGGGCCCCCAGAGCAGGGAGGCTGTGCACCAGGCTGCCCAGCCTGGAGGACAGAGCCCTCCCTGACAGCCTGGGGCCACAGCCAGCTCTGAAGGCGGCAGGGGCAGGCCTCGCCCCCAACCCTCTTGGGTCTGGACAAGCCACAGAAGGTGAGATGGGGACCCCTTGGGGACAGGGCTGGCCAACCTGTCACCCCTGATTATCAGGTAATGACCTTCTTGAAGCATGATTTTATTAATCGACTTAAGACGTGCTGAGACCTCCTGGGTGACCTTAGCCTGTTCTGCTGACGGATTCTCCCAGGTGGGCTGTGGTGGCAGGACACCCTGGGACTCCCACCCCCAACTCCCGCAGGCCCCAGAGTCCTGCCCTTCTGCTTTGGAAGAGGGCGCCTCTGTGCTCAGGGCTTCCAAACACACACTCACACCACCCACACTTAGGGCCTGGCCGTCAGTGCTGACGGGTGGTGTGCAGGGATAATGGACAGCAGGCCCAGGACCATGGAACCAGGGCCAGAGTGCAGAGTGGACTGCTCTGCCTTCCTTGATCTGCTGCCCAGACCTTCCCCTCCTGTGGCTGTCAGTGGGTGGCGGCTGCCCCCTGGTGGCCTTGGGGAGTAACACCAGTGTCCAGGGTCCTGTCCTCAACCCCCAGGCCCTGGGTGGAAGAGCCCCTTGTGGCCTCTGTCTGGTACGGCTGGGCCTGTGGCCCGGGCTTCCCTTCTCACCTCATCCATTTGGGGCCCAGGTCCTGAGCCCACCCCTCCAAGGGACCTGGGGATCACTGCTCCTGCCCCATGGAGGCTCATCGGAGGGCTGCCAGGGCCCTGGCGGGCAGGTGGGGCTGGACACAGAGACAGCAAGTGCAGGCTACCAGGGGGCTCAGTCTCTTTGCCAGTGCTTCCTGGGCAGCAGACAAGGGCCGGAGAACAACGGGCCTTTGCTGGGACCCTATACCGAGAGCAGCCCATCGGCAAGGGGGCCTAGCTTTGTCCAGCTGGGCTGAGGACAGTCCAGGGGTTCCCAGAGCAGAACCCCACATGAGGCAGAAGCTTGGCCTTTGGAGGGCTGGGTGGAGGCTTGGAGCCCAGGGCAGCTGAAGTGAGGCTGCAGCCAGGGCAGCAGCAAGGTGGACAGGGCTCTGAGGATGTGGACAGGATTACCTGGGGCCAGGGGCCTGCTGTAGAGTAGAGCCCCACCCAGCGCCTACAGCCTCTCTCGGGAGAGACCCCTCACCCCACCCCCCTGCCCTCCTCGGAGCAGTGGCTGTATGAGCCTTGTGCCCAAAGGGCAGGGGCGCTTCCTCTTGGTGAGGTGGCCGTGGCCCCAGCCCTGGGCTCTGATCTGGCTTGTCTAACCAGAGTCTTTAATGGGCAGCTCTGGCCCCGAGCAGGGCAGGCACAGCCTGAAGGTCCCTGCGGGTGAGAAACAGAAGGCTTGGGCTGCTTCCAGTCCTCAGAGACACGCTGGGCACTTGGAGGCTGCAGGGACCATGGCTGACTCAGGGACAGGTGCCACAGTCCCCACCAGTGCAGGGTGGGGGGCGGCCCCGGGGCTTGCCCTGCTTGGCCCTGCGGCTCCAGACAAGGAGGGGCTGGGGACTGGCACGGGTGGGTGCTGGCATCTCGAAGCCACACGCTCTCCGGCTCCTCGGAAGCCTCCCTGGGCCCAGCAGAGCTGGCTGGTGGTCCCCCTGCAGCCAGGACAGAGAGGGTGTGGTCAGCTACCACCCGGGTGGCCTGCAGTGAGCCAGGGAGGAGGCAGGCGTGCTGGGGGCATGTCCAGGGGCTCTGTTCCACTTGCTGCTCGTCACTCAGTCCTTGGGTGGACACACCAGGTGGATGTGACCTCTGGAGGAGCCCAGCTGGAAGCCTCGAATCCTGCTGAGGTGGGGGGCCTTTCTGGGGAGGAGGCCAGCTACCAGGTGACGCAGCAGCACAGGTGGCCACTCGCCAGAAGGCCACCCCAGTGAGGGCCACTGCCCACCACTCCTCTTTCAGAGGCCTCATGAGCACCAGGGAGGTCCAGGCCAGGGCCCACCCCCAGGCCCCAGGACTCACTGTGCTGCGTGGCTCTTGTCTGGGCAGCATTGAAGCCACCTGCAGACTCACGCCCGCCGCGCCCGCCTCCCTCAGCTGCGTCACGACGTCCGCGTGCCTCCACCACTTGCAGGGCTGCCCGTTCACAGACACGATGTAGTCACCCTGCTGGAGGCCAGCTGCCTGTTGGGGACACAGACCAGTGAGGGGCAAGAGCAGGCTCTGGCTGGCGTCCTGGGGACGGCCTCCAAGGCCAGCGGGCCCTTACCGCAGCTTGCCCGCCAGGAACCACAGCGGCAATAAGGACGGGCGAGTCTCCCCGAAGCGTGAAGCCGAAGCCGCCCTCTCCCCGGGTCAGGTGGATGGGCCCCACCAGTTGCCACCGATTCTTGGCTGAGAACACGGGCAGGGGTCCCTGGAGGAGGCAGGGGTCAGAGGCTGGCTAGGCTGCAGTCCGAGGGCCCGGCTGGCAGGCACCTGTAATCTCAGGCAGGAGCCAGGGAGGTGCCAGTAGGAGGCACAGGGCTGGGCCACCACCAAGGGACCATTGGGGGCTCCTGCCAGTGGACACGCAGGGCAGAACCTAATGCCCAAGCCTGCTGTACAGAGAGGGGGCAGGAGCAGCTTGCTCACCAGACGGTGAAAGATGTCGGCCACCTTCATGAAGGACAGGCTGGGCACCCTGACCTCGGACTTCTGGTGGGTCTTAGCTGAGGGGGTGGGAAGGAATGGAGGAGCAGGGCTGAGCCCAAGGCTCAGGGGCCTGCAGACCGCTGGTTCCACCAGAGGGACTTGACTCCACCCTAGAGGAGTGGGCAACACTAGGTGCACACGGCCCTCTGGTAGCTGGAGGGTAGAGCTGCCCCAGGTCCCTGAACACGCGCCCGTCCACCTGCTCCAGGACCCCCTCCCTGAAGCCCAGCTGTCTCTGTCTGACCATGGGATCCCCCTGGACAGGAGTCAGAAGGGGAAGGGGTGGAAAGGGAGAGAGAGGGGGTCTCGATCCAGGTGCTTCCTCGGGCCAGCTGGAGTTCCCGCCCTCCCTGGCCCCAAAGGTCCTGGCATGTGGCCTTGGAGACTGCATCTCTGATGGTCACTGCAGGGCTCAGCCATCTTCCTCTAGCCAGGACTGAGGGCACACCCATCTGGATGGGCCCAGGCTGCTCACGCTGGATGTCTGGGGCCTCAGCGGCCTCAAAGAAGTCATCCTCGCGCTCGAGCTTCGAGTACTTGGCCAACGAGTGCCTCAGTGCCTGGGCCACCACAGCCTGCAGCAGGTCCACCTTGCGCAGGACACGGCATGAAGCATGCAGCCTCAGCGCCTCCTCCTGGCCCAGAATGGCGCGCTTCAGGTGGGCCTTGGCTGCACACAGAGCACAGCATCGTCACACGCTGAGGGCCCGCCTGCTGGCCCTTGGAGGCCAACCCTGCCCCCTGCCCCCAGGATGTAGCAGGTAGGGTGTGGGTACGGGGTCGGGAGGTGCAGACAGCAGGGCTGGGGTGGAGCTTCCCCTAGGGCACCCCCGTCTGCCCGGGCTGCCCTGCACTGCTAGGGTCCGGCTCTCCACAGTGACCCCGGGGCAGGACTGGGGGCCGGTGGGGGTGGAGCACACTGCGGCAGCTGGCCCAGGGCGTGAGCACCAGAGCCCTCTGTGCCTCACCAAGCTTTCTGCGCTCCTCGGGTTGCTGGGGCAGCGCCGGGCTGTGGGGCTCGCCAGGGGTTGGGGGCTGGAAGACCTGCTCACACGCGGGGAGCTCTCCTTCAGCCGCCACTGGGGGTCAGAGAGGCCATGAGTTGAGAGCAGGCACCTGGCAGGCACACAGGCACACGGGCAGGGCACTCACAGGAGCCGTCACAGAGGGCTGTGGCTGCGTGATAGTGGGCCAGGGCGTGGAAATGTTCAGCCTTGACGTGCACCAGGGTGGTCCAGGAGGCAGGCACGTAGTCCTGGACGGGTGGCTGGGCCATGGCCTGGTGCACAAGCCTGTACTCAGCTGCCACCTGCCAGAGATGTGTGGGCACATTGGCGCTCAGAGACAAAGCTAGTGGGGCCTGCAGCCAGCCTGAGCCTCCTGCCTCTCCACAGCCTGGGCGCTCAGGGCCCCAGTTCCTGCTCTGATCATGCTGTCCCCTGAGGCAGGGACGCTATGAACCAGGCAGCAGCTGGCTTTGGGGAGGCCAGGGGGGGACACCCGTCTCTGCCCGTGCTCTCTCGACTAGCTCTTCTGGCCTGTGGTCCCTGTCCGCCGACTCCATGCTCTCCCAGGCCTCCTGCCGGTGGAGGGCCGTGGGTCCTGGCAGGCTCCCTGCCCTTACCTGGGCCGCCTCCTGAGCCAGGTGCAGCTGAGCCAGGCAGTCGTGGGGGAGGGCCAGGGCTGGCAGTGAAAGGCCTTCAAAGACACACTCCTGGGCCTGGGCGGCCATGAGTCGCTCCAGCGCGCAGAGGCAGGTGGTGCTCATGTCTGGGCTCGGTGCCTGGGAGAAGTTCTCCCTCAGGAGGCCGAAGGCCCCTGTGGGCAGAGAGGGTAATCACATGGCAGGGCCCCCGGGAGGGCCAGTGTGTCCCGCTGCCCTGGGTTTCTGCCCAGTGAAGGTGGGATGTGGGCCCTCTCACCAGCAGCCAGCTGGAAGGCCTGAGCGGCCCGGCGGGCACCCGCAGCACAGGAGCGGTCCTGGCGCGCCCCGATCTGTGTGTGGAGGGCCCCGATGTTGAACAGCACGCTGCCCTTCTCAAACGCCAGGGCCCTCTGCTGTGCAGGGACCCCCGTGAGAGAGTCGTACCTGTGGACGGTCAGGCTGGGAGTGGTTCCATGGCGCCAGGCCCTCCTCCCCAGGGCACCCCACCCTCCCAGGCCCTACCAGTGGAAGACCAGCCCCAGGCTCCGGGCAGGGCTGAAAAAGCGTCCCTCCAGGAAGCAGAGCTGGCTGTAGTAGGCTGCGAGCAGCCTCAGGCCCGCATCGTCTCGGCTGGGGGTCCGCATGGCCTGCAGGGCAGGAGCTGGCTGGGCCCACTGCCCAGTCCCCACCCCACCACACCGCCCTAGAAATCCCCTGGGCATCAGCCTGTGGAAGCACATGCTGCCCCAGGGGACCATGGGCACCAGGCCAGGCAGCCTGAGTCCAGAGAGCAGGCAGGGCTCTGAGGAGGGAACAGGAACAGAGTACCCCTGTGGCCATCGGTGGCTCCTGGGCCCTTCCACACACACTGGGGTGCCTGTCTCCCTGACGTCCTCCCAAGAGGAGGGCCTCCTGCTGCGTGAGGCTACACTGGCTCCAATTCCATGCTTCAGTGTCTCAGCGCTGCAGGAGGAGAGGTGAGGGGGGTGTCGCCACCCACCTGCCGCAGGTCCTCCAGCTCCCTGATCTCCGCCTCATAGGAGGCACCGTCCTCTCCAAAGTGCCCTGAAATCAGCTCCTGACAGAAGGACAGGTGTTGGCCTCCGGGGCACCCTGTGTTTGGCAGCCTGCCCCAGGGAGGGGAAGGTCCCAGTACTGAGCAGGCCAGCTGCCCACCCGGGTCCAGGGCCCTCGAAGCCCTCAGCAGAAGGCTTGTGAGGCTGAGGGCCTGGCCTGGGGTGGGAAGTCGTGGATTCTTGTTGGTGTTAATTTTACACAATTCCCTCATCAATCCCATGGCAATCCCAAGAGGCAGGTGCCATGTGTCACTTGGAGACTCAGACACTGAGGCACAGTCAATTCATTTTCCCTTGGGGCCCTGCCAGGCAGTGGCAGCTGGGACACACACGGCCCTGTTCTGGGGTCTGAGCCCTCCCAAACACTGGGTAGCTATGGCCCCATAGCACAGCTCCATGGGTGGGTGGCGGCCCTGAGCCAGGGAACCCTGGCTGGAGAGCCCCAGGCCCCTGCAGTTGCCCTGGGGCTCCCAGCAGGATGACCAGGCCCCATTACATTATCCTAGGGCAGAGTCCAGCTCAGCAGGAGGCCTGCCCAGGGTGGGATGCTGGGTCCCTGGTGGCCCTCAGTTTCCTCATCTGTTCAGAGACACCTGGACCAGGGCAAGGCTGTCACTCAGAAGTTGTCACCAGCACTTACCTTCAGCGGGGTGGCCCAGTCCAATTCTGTGGTCTCCTTTAGGCCCAGGGGTATCATGGGGACAGTGACACCTTCGCTAGAACCAGAAGCATTGGCTGGGACCTGCTGCCCACAGCAGCCTGGAGTCCAGTCCCATGGGCCCCCGTCAGCCCCCCACGTGTGCCTGCTGAGTGGTCAGGCGGCAGGGCCTACCCCTCAGGCCGGTGCGTGTCTGGGCCACTGCTGAGCCCCTCCAGCTCCTCCTTCAGCAGCTGCAGGTTGGAGTTGACGTAGCTCAGCTCCAAGGCGACGGTCTCCCTGACCCGGTCGTTGCTGGTGGCTCTGGGGAGGCCAGGGGAAGTCAGAAGCTGGGGGTGTCTGGGCCCCAGCCCTAGGGCCCAGAGGTGGGCCAGGCCTGCCCTGTCGGGGTCTTGGCTGTGGGGACCCAGAGGGAAACCTGCTCACGCTGACTTCTGGACGGACTGCAGGTGGACAGCCACCTGGGCCACCCCCCTGGGCCTGTGGCCCTCCCCGGGGAGGGGGCGGCAGGTGCTCACCTGTAGAGGTTCTCGGCCCCTGTCCGCATGCGCAGCTCCTTGCTGATCTGCTGACGTATCCGGGCCCTGGGACTCTGCAGCCAGCTGTGCCGAGTCTGTGCCGTGGGGTCAGAGACCTGCAGAGAGCGGTGGGTCATGGCCAGCCCCACAGAGCCCCCGCGGGCTGGCCTGCCAGAGGACCTCAGCAGTGCTCGGGGAAGGGAGGGTCACCGGGGGCTAGAGCCTGAACAGTCCCACAGAGAACGCAGCCAGCACAGGCCCTCCCCTCAGGCCACCATGATGCCAGCCTCACTAACGGCCACGTGTCAAGTGGTTTCCCTGCACAGCCACCCATCACACCAGCCCTCAGGCCCACCTTCTCCGGAATAGATGGGGCCTCCTAGGTCTCCCACTGGTCTGAACCCCTGGGCTCAAGTGTTCTTCCCACCTCAGCAGAGACCACAGGTGCTACCACGGCACCGGGTCTTAGAACACAGGAGACGTGACGCCTTCCAGTGCTGGGATCCACCTGGGCCTCCCGTGTGCCAAGCAGACACTCGTCCCCAGAGCTGCACCCGTGCCCTTGGCCCACCTTTCAAGGCAGGATGCAAAGCCCTAGCAGGAAGCCCTCCCGATCTGCTCTCTCTGGAGCCCTCTTCTCACTCCTTGGGGACCGTGGCCCAGCCACACAGGGAGCGCAGCCCTCCTTGGGGGCTGGGCCACCTTTCCAGGGGGCCCACCACAAAGGCCCAGGCTGAGCAGCTTTAACAAGAGGCCTGACCCTGAAACTGGGGATCTGATCGAGCCTGGCTCCAGGGCTCTGCCCACAGGGCCTGCAGGGTGGTAGGGCCACAGGCACCAGGCAGCCACGGACACCACAGCCACAGGCTGTGGGCCTGTACTGTGTGGGCAGCTAGTCCAGGTGGACAGCAAGATGTTCAGCCCCAGTAGAAGGCAGGTTCCTCCCAGGAGACATGAGGAAAGTGGCCTGGGCGACTCCCGCCATTCCTCTCTGGCTGCCTCCCAGCATGGCCAGGGAGTGGGGACACCGTGAGGCGCAGCCTGAGATCAGAACCCCTCCTGAGTCCATCCCGGGGCTGGTGAGGACCTCTCAGAAGTCTCCTTTCCTGGGCGGCTTCCCCCTGGTGGTCACTGACACCCTAACAGAACAGAGCTGGCAGGACCCTGTCCCGACAGCAGACAGGAGGGACCTCTAATCTGTGCGGTGCTGATTCTGGCCACACATTCAAAGAAGTGTGGCTTACTGTCACTCTAGGACAGACTCAGCCTCCAGGGCCGTCGCTTATCCCAGCCCCTTGGAGGGCGTTCCCCAAGGGTGACCTGTGACCCTGCATGGGGGAGGCTCCCCTCCTCCAGAGCCTGCTCCTCAAGGAGTGGAGACTCCCTGTGGGAGGGGCATCTGGGCTGGGGCTTGAGGGCAGGAGGCTCCCAAGTGGTCCTGGGGGGATGAGGGAGAGGTGACCCCCCACAAACCAGGTTGGAAAAGCAGTGGCTAGAGCACCTCCCACTGGGCCTGGGCCACCAGCACTGCAGATGCGGGAGCAGAGCAGACAGGAGCGTCCTCCACCCACTGCCCCACAGCTGTCACCAGGGCCTGTGTCCTGCCTGCTGAGATGGAGGTCATGGCGGTCTCCTGGAGAGGTGGGCCACTGCTGAACCAAAAGTCACTGCAAGGTGCCAGCAGGCTCCCAGGGCTGGGCAGTGGGCCTCAGCTCGGCAGGGCGGCCCTCATCTGCATGACAGCCCCTGACCCCCTTTCTGGAGGGAGGTCCCAGCCAGACCACTCTGGGCCCTGCAGGCACCTGCCCCAGGTGCTGGGTCCTTCCTTGGCTTCTCTACCCTAGTGTCCCTTCCAGGAGGCCAAGCCAGTCTTCTAACCAGTGTGGGGAGAAGGGGGATGAGCAGGTCAGAGCTGGGCCTCAGGCTGAGTGGACTCTGGAAGCTGGTGGCCCCCATGCCCAGTTCTCCACGCTGAGCTGAGGGGTGTGCCCAGTGGGGAGGGCACAGACATGTTGAACAGCCCTCATTCTGTGCAAACCAGGCCCCCTGGCCCTCCCTGTGCCATTACCCCCACCGTGACTTCCTCTGGCTCTCTCCAGTACAGAGAGAACCTGTAGTGGTCTCTGATATCCCCAAAGGGGTGCACCAAGCAGGGGCAGGGCCTGGCGATCGCCCGTGTGGAAAGGGATGGAGAACAGAAACAACCCACTCCCTCCAAGAAACCCAGGACCTGGTGCTTGATCCCCCTTCTAGGGTGGCAGCCAAGAGAGGGCAGTGGCCAGTCTGAGCTGTCCCTAGGTCTCGCAAAAGGGAGGAGATGCTTGGCCTGGCACAGGACTGGAAACAGCACACAGAGCAAGGTGGCCCCATGCCTGCTCCCAGGGGTGCCCAGCTGGGCCTGCTCTCTGGGAGAGACCCCCATCCCAGTGCCAGACCCCTGAGCACCCTGCCTGCGAACTCACCCACCTCAGCCCCAGCCTTCCCTCCTGAGGTCTCCCCTCAACAGAGGATGGGGACACTCAGCATTCACCAGTGCTGCCACCTCTGTCCACAAATAGGGCACAGGGTCCAAGGGGACACACTGTGACATGGGCTGGGGGGAACGGTGTGGCAGGCATGCCAGCTTTAGTTTAGGGGCGTGTCTCAGGATACTGCTCCTTTGATGTTCACCTGGGCACCATGTCACATGCCCCACTCAAGGGCCCTGGAACCCATGGGTGGGACAAGCACCTGAAGGGTTCTGATGCCCCTCCAGGCAGGGACGTTGATCTAACCTGGCTGGTGTTCTGGAGACCGACAGAGGCCCAGCCCCCTGCCTGGTGCTCTGCTCCGTCTCCTGTCCTCAGTCCTCTCCCACCTCCCCCACTGTCCCATTGCCCTGATCTCATCCCTCAGCCCCTTGACTGTCCCAGGAAGCCATGAGACTCAGCCATGTGGCACTTCCCCATCCGGCCAGTCAGCACCCACCTGTGGTCCTCCCCTTGAGGAGGCTGGCACGAAGGTCTGCAGAATCCCTGCATCCCTCACGTCAGCCTTCAGGTGAGTGGCTCTTCAGATGGGTAAACTGAGGCCCAGGCCCTTTCTAGGGTAGCAGCTAAGAAAGGGCAAAGATAGGGCCTGGCCACAGCCCACCACCCACAGCCTGAGAAGTACTGGGCATATCCAAGTCACCCAGCCCTGTCCAGGGGGCCTCAGACCCGGGCATGGCTTTACGCAAGCTCACCAGTTCTTCCCCATCTGATGGAGTGGGACGGCTGGTCAGGGGCCTGCTGGGGAACCTGGCCTCACTCAGCCCTGCAGCGGGCTTGGAGAAGACTTTCCAGGGGCAAGGCCACCTGGGCTGTGCAGTGTGACTTAGGGCCTGCCTGAACAGGGCTGGGGCTGCAAGGCCACCTCCCTGGAACCCTGACCGTGGGCCATCCCAGGGCACGTGTGCACAAGACACAGCAGCCAAGAAGCCACTGGGGAGGGTTTCCAATCCCCCTTCTAGGGTGGCAGCCAAGAGAAGGCAGAGACAGGGCCTGGCCACAGCCCACAGCCCGCAGTCTGCAGTGCTGTCGACTAAGCCCACTGGCACATCTTGTTTGTTAACCCCCAGACATTCCTTCCACACAAAGCAACATGTGCTCCCGCCAAAGGCCACCTGCTGGCATGGCTATCCTACCAGGGACAGTTCACAGAGGACAGGAGACCGGTCCCTTCACTGTCCAGTGCCTGCTATGTGCTGTGGCTGGCATGCCAGGGGTGGGCAGAGAGACAGAGCTCCTTAGTGGGTCTGGTCAGCTTTACTGGCCAATTCCTTGCAGTTTACTTCCTGGCTGAGGCCTCCCTTCCCTCCTCCCCTAGGAGATCTGAGCCACAGACACACAAAAGCTCAATAGAATCAGCAAGGGACAATGTGTAGTCTGATGCTGGTTAGGAAAGAGGGCAAAGCACTGTGGTAGAGGCCTGGGACTAGCCATATGAGCCACTCAGCAGATTCCAACTGAAAGCCCTTGATGCAGGGCATGGGTGCCCAGAGCCCACATGAACGCGGGGGGGGGGGGGCCCCTCATTGACCCCCAGGGAATGAATGCCCAGACTAGGGCTGCAGAGCAAGACACAGGCAGGATGGCTCTCCATCCCTGACCCCAGGGCTCCTGGAAACCCAGGCACAGTCAGCACCCGCATTAGGGACTTTGGAGGGGGCAGAGGTTCAGGGAAACCCAGAGAGGGCAAACTGCCCGGTCTGCAGTCCAGCACGCGTCAGCTGCCTGCACCTTCAAGCAACATCAGATGGACGCCCAGTTCCTAATGGGTGCAGAAAGCAAAGCGAGGAACGGAGGCTTTACAGGCGCCAGAAACAAAACGAGCTTGATCCGGAGCTGTCACGGACAAGCCAACACCTGCCAAAGAAGTGGGTCCCTAGGTCCCTAACTTCAGGGGAATGGTGGTCCCGACCTCGGCTCCTAGTGAGTCCTGGAAGCTTCCTCCTTTCCCCTTTTGGGAACCCCAAAAGGGACTGGAGAGGAACCCAGAGGGGGAGGGATACGGGCTCTGGCCCGCTCGGCGACTCAGTTTCCCCAGAGGTTGCCTGGAAGGCCGCGCGCCCGGCCGAGCCTCCCAGAGCTGGGCAGGAGGCCGGGGGCCTGCACCCCTCGCCGGCACCCCACCTTGCGGACGCCGCCGGCCGCCTGCAGCTGGGCGCTGTCCTCGCCGGCGCCCTGGCCATCCGGCCTCTCCTCGAGGATCATCGCCGCCCGCCTGGAAGCCGGCCCCGCGAGGCTGCCAGCGGCAGGTCCCTCTGGAGCGGGGGAGGGCCGCCCTCAGGCCCTGGTCCTGGGCAGGGTCCCCTGGCTGCCTCTCCTCGAGGGCTGGCCGTCCGGCGGGGCTGGGCGGGGCGAAGGCCCCGCCTCGAAACTTGTCGCTGACCAGTAGGCGGTGACGGCCGCTCCGACGGACAGCCACTGCTGCCAACCACAGCGCAAGAAAGGCGGGTCAGGCGGCAGCCCCGCCCGCCCGCGGCGTCCGCGGAATCCGGTAACCCCGGGCAACCGCGACCCGCGCGCCGAGCGCAGTGCGCAGGCGCCGCGGCGCTGTTCGGCGCTGGCCAAAGTTGGGATAAGATCGCGAAGCGGACGGCGGGGACTGCAGGGCCTTCACCTGTCACCCCGGCAACGGGAACCTCGCCCCGAAAACGTCTGCAGTGGGTCTCAGACGGCTGTTGGGGACAAGGGCGCGTGCAGTTCCTGAACAAAGCCGGCTGCTTCCCCGCCGGGCGAGCGGTCCCGTGCCTCCGGAGCTGCCTCTGCTGGCCTCTTTAGAGCGCTCGCTTCCAGAGCCTGCCTCCAGCACTGGCCTGTTTTCAGATCCGTCCTGCCCGCGGGACCTCCCGCTGGCGGCAGTGGACTTTCCAGAACCTGCGCTCCCTGCAGGGCTCGCCCGGCAGTGTGCCTCCCTTGGGCCCAGTCATCAGTCTCCAGGTGTCCTGTGGGCTCGCTCTCCTGGGCGCACGCCCTTTGCAGGCAGGAGGACCAGGTCGCTGGTAGACCACAGGTCTCTGTGTCAGATTCCTTGGAAGTCCCAGCCTCCCTTGCTGACCTCCGCGTTTGGCCTCTCTCTGCCTTTGCCCAGCAGGGGCTCAGTCTATGCCCCTGCCCCCAATGAACACACCTGGCCCTGTTCTAATTCCTGTAAGCTAAGCTCCTTGGCCTGCTGGACCATCTGCAGTGGCCCCCCTCTGCAGTACCCCTCTCATCAGGCCCCCGCCAGCCACTCCGAGCTCCCTGGCCCTCTCCTCCTCATAAGGTCAACACTGGGTATTGATCCTGGACAATTTTAACATGATTCTGCTCGGAGGGCATGAGGTGGAGGCTTCGCTGCTGGGGCCGTTTCAGTAGGTGATGCCTACCTTAGACTGCTCCAGAGCTGGGGGTGTGGCTCAGCAGTGAACACGGAAGGGAAGTTCCAAGAGGAGGAGGAGGGGCCAGATGGGTGGAGTCGTGGGCTTAATCACCCAACTATCAGCTCAAAGGGTTAACAAGGGGTCAGCCCTGGAGAGGAGGATGGGCTGCTGTTTTGCTAGCAGGCCTTGTAGAACTATTTGCTTCATCAAACTGTACACATATTCCTTTGATAACAGTGTGGTTACAAGCTTCTTTTTTTAGAGTGGATGTCTAGAAATTTCCAATTAGAATTCAAAATAAAATGTAACTATTTGGAGATGAGATGTTTCTCAATAAGGCTGGAATTAAAGGGAAGTGAAAACAGAAATTGCAGACTATTTTAAATGGAACTAGGAAGTGAATATGTTAGATAAAATAAACATACACACAATAAATTAACCATTTAAAAAAAGTAGAGAAGTAAAGGACTAAAGCTTAAAAGTGGATATCACCTATAATCCCAGTGGCTTGGGAGGCTGAGGCAGGAGGATTGCAAGTTCAAAGCCAGCCTCCACAAAAGTGAGGTACTGAGCAACTCAGTCAGACCCTGTCTCTAAATTAAAAAAGGGCTGGGAATGTGGCTCAGTGGTCGAGTGCCCCTGAGTTCAATCCCCCGTATCCTCCCCCCAAAAAAGTGGATATCAGTAATAATAAAATAGCTGATTATTTGAGATAAAGTTGATACATTTCTTGGAGAAAAAAGATTTTGTCAGTGGGGATTTGCCTTTGACTGCATGGGGTTGGCTCCAGTGGCTCAGCCAGGGGTCAGTGCTTCTTGTGTTCCCCTAGATCACTCTGTAGAGGCCTCCTGCCCAGATGCACCTCCACCTGGTGCCAGAGCCGGGAAAAGGGAAGAAGCATCAAGAGGATAAGCAGAGCCAGTTGAGGTGGCCTGTGATCCTGGTGTTTCAGAAGGCTGAGGCAGGAGAATCCCGAGTTGAAACCAGTCCAGGCCCCTTAGGGTTGGGATTTGCTCAGAGGTAAAGTGCCCCTGGGTGGTTCAGTACCACACACACAGCCACCCGCAGACACACAGAAGGAGAAAGAAAACATCCCAAGATTCTCTCAGAATTTCAGGATGTTGTCACAAGGCCACCTGTGGCTGCAGGGAGACCAGGAATGCACTGTGTCAGCTGGGCACACTGCTGTCCCCCACATATGGAGTTATTTTTAATATCAGAAAGAAAATGAGAGGGGTTGGGCTGAGGAGTAGTGGCTCCCAGAGAAGCCTGGGGGATGCGGCTGCAGGAGGAACTCACGGGCGCGAGGACACGTGCAGACGCACTAGAGGGCCCAGGACCCGGCACACGTGGTCAGGGGTAGAGGCTGCCTAGCAAGAGGAGGCCCTGGGTTCGTCTCCAGCCCCGGAAAAAAAAAAAAAAAAAAAGGAAAGAAAAAAAAATATCCTGAAAAACTTGAATGCCTTTTGTGCAGAGAAAGAGAGAGACAGGAATCCACATCCAGCCCCGGAAAAAAAAAAAAAAAAAAGGAAAGAAGAAGAAGAAGACAAGGACAGTGGTGATTTTGTAGGAAGACAAAGTGACTGTTGTAGGGACAGACGAGGCCAGGCACCCAAGACTGCAGGAAACAGTTTTATCTGGCTGCAGCCAGGTTCAGAGGGCACAGGTTTTGCTGTAATCCATCAATCCCCTGAACCCCGAGTTCAGGGAGTTTCAGAGTTTTATACCCAGCACGTAAGGGGAGGGGCTCAGAAGTCCACATAAAAGCAGCTTTTTCTTTCACTGTTTTGGGCAAGTTAACTCTTCAAGGACAACACCTGAGAAGGGGAGAGCCTCTTCTCCCCTTCTTTCCTCCCCCTGCCAGCTGTTACCATGGAGCCCAGTTGGTAACTTATCTTAAAAATGTAGACATCTCTGTGAAGCCCAGCTCAAGGCCAGAGGCCGTGTTTGCACATTTCTACAAACTCCTATACAGGATACATGTTTGTGAAAAACTAGTAAGGGGGCGTCCAGCACCTGGAGTGCTGGTATCTTCCCGGCCAGTGGCCAGGTAAAACAGGGCGACATGAAAATAGGAAGTTTGTCTACACTGGACTCTTCTGCAGACTCCTTTGCTGACGGTCCTAAAGCCAGGCATGGTGGAGAGGGCTTTTCTCTGGAGAAAGGGGTGCCACTTCACGCCAAAGCTGACTGATAAAAAGATGAACAGGCCAGTGACCCTGTTGCCGAAAGCTCGGTCCTTGTCCCCAATGCCAGTCTGACAACGAGGACACAGTTTTGAGAAAAAGGAAATTGCTTTGCCATCAAAGGAGAAACACAGGGGACTGTGGTTCTGCCCGTCACAGGAACAGGGGGCTTTTCCAGAGGGGGGGGTCAGAGAAAGTGAGACCAGGAAGGAGAGATGGGGGGAGAAGGTCAGGGGAAAGGTGATTGGGAAAAAGAAAAAAAACCCCTAAGTTTCAAAGCCACAAGGATGTCGTCCGTCATAGAGCTGCACTGCTGTCACAGCGTCAGGGCCTGGTCTGGCCCGTGCACAGTGAGCTGTCTGCAGGCCAGACGTTCCAAGCATGAAGGGATGGACGCCACACTCCTCCCCACACTGCGGGGCCACACTGTGGGGAAGAGAGGGTAGGCAGGACCATGTCACCCAGGGGCAGAAGCTGCGGACCCTGCTGGGCCCTTGGTCAGGGTCACGGAATCCCAGGTGTTTCCTGGAACCTGCCTCAGGCCACTTGCTTCGGGGAAGGCCGCCCAGCCCAGCCGCAGAAGGCGAGACCGGGATCTAGCCAGAGGGCATCAGAACTGAGATGGGGGCTCCTCCTGCAGGGCTAGGCACACTGGCAGTGTCCCTGCCCCACCCCAGTGCCTGTTAGTGTTCTGTCACTGTGACAGATACCTGAGAGAACCATTGTATAGAAATAAACCATTGTGTAAGAGAAAACACTTATTTGGCTCATGGTCTGAGAAGGCTCAGTCTATGACCAGTTGGTCCCATCGCTTGGTGGTGTGGTGACACGTCCTGGTGTGAGAGCCACACCAGGAGGAGGAATGCCTCATGGCTGGGCATGGAAGAGGAAGAGAGCTGCCGTGGTCTCCCTGGCCCTTCAAGGGCAGCCCCCTCCATGCCCGGGGGCCTCCCACTGGCCGCCTCTCAGTGTTTCACCACCTCCAAATGGCACCAAGCGGGAGCCCAGTTCCCACCACGGGGCCTCTGGGGACACTTAGGTCCACACTCTGGCTGCCAGCAGTGACCGGTCTGCACCCAGGGCTCCCCAAGCAGACTGGGCAGGAGGGGAGTCCTCGGGCTCCTGGGAGTGGTCTCTCTGGCTGAGGAGACCCCTGCAGAGGAGGACCGCCCCCTTCCCTGTGCTCTCATGGCCAGGCGGACCTCCAGAGCCGGGCAGCGGTCTGACGACTCCTGAAGGGGCTGCTGGGAGCCCATCTGAACCTGTCCCTCCCGGACACCCGCTGGTTCACGGCGAGTGGGGCCAAGCCGCTCTGTGGGTACCGACCCCGTAGGACTGTCTGTGTGCTGAGCTCTGAGGCTGTCGGGTCAGGAAGGAGGTGTCAACCCACCCCCACTTTCCCTTGGAGTCTGCTCGAAGCTCAGTGAAGGGAGTGGTGCAGGAAGCCACCCCGGGAGGGAGGAGGCACGAGCATGTGACCTTAAGAAACTCTCCGGGAGCTTCCACAGCTTATGACAGAATGGGTAAGGTCGCGTCCTCAGCTGACCTCGCCGTTGGACGGAATGTTGGTGTCTAGCCCAGATGAACGTGCTGCGTCCCTCCTCTGGAGGAGGTGCCAGGGTGGTGCCCTGCCGCAACAAGGCCAAGACCCGGTAGGAGACATCAGGGGGCGCTCTCGCCCTGTGCGAAGCCACCGGCAGAGGCTGCCAACCCCAAACCTGAGGGCCCTCATCAGAGCCGACTGGGACAGCACCTCATCCTGCAGCCCCAGTCCGTGCTCCTCTGCTGTGGCGGCCCAAACTGACTGATG